ATGCGATCAACATGAAACTTTCAGAATCTTATTTTTTTCTCCAAAAAATGAAACCTCAGAAAGTTTAAAGCCAATAAGAATCGGTTTACGGGTACCTCTCATACAAAATTGTCGAAGTTTTAGTTAAAGTGACCGATTTTTCACTTTATTTGTATTATTATACTTTCACTGCCTTTATTTCAAGAAAATTCACAAAAAATAACCAAAAGTACCTACGGACAACGCAGGCCAACAGTACGGAAAAGTTCGGGATTACCAACGTAATTCTTTTTATTTTAGTATCCTTTAAATTTCTCCTCCATAATCATTAAAAGGCCTGGAAACATTATTCCCAATATTTGGATCGGTATTTTTTCATTTGTAATTATATTATTTTTCTGATTGGTGTGAGTGTGATATAAATCGTTGTAAACGACTTATGTGTGTTTTTAGACCGCACCTCATAATTCAAGCTAGTGTTGCTATCGAATTTTCAGAACAGTGTACATTGAGCAGCACCTTACCATATATGGACAATGGACATATCGATGGACGGGAGTTGAGTATATTTTTCGATGATTCGGTTTGCGTGAAAAATTCGTTTAACAGTAGTAGAAAAAAAGCGGAAGAAAACGGCTTGCAACTTCTTAAAATTGGATGACTGATTTGAGTTCTCAATTAAATATAATTCGAATTCCGCTCTTCCGCTTACTCATTAGCTACAGTCATTAATAATATTGATAAAACTTTCAAGTGCCGCACAGTTTGAATAGAAAAGGGCCAGTAAATACATGGTTTGAATCACAGCAATTCAGTCGCAGAAAGAAAGTTGGTTTGCTTGAGAAAATGAATTTCAAAGTATTTACCTGGTTTGCCTTTGTGCTGTTGGCATTATTCTCATTTGGAAGCTCATCAGCTGACGGTAAATCGAATCACGTCTTTATATTTATCTTAAACTATATTGGGAAAAAAACAGAGGTGGGCAAAAAGGGAGGATAATTGATTTTCAAAATTTGAGGAATTTTTTTTGCTCATCACTTTTCTTCTGAAAATGGTTTCACACTAGATAGAATGAATTTTCAAAATCCATTTTCCTAGACGTGCATTTTCGAAGGGAATCGGAGTTTTTTTACAGAGTTTACTAACTATAATACTATGGGATATTTTCATTCAGATAGAAATATCGCACAAAAATATCCGACATTTTTCATCGTCGTTAGTGTGAAGAATTCAACATAAAATAGCCATTCTGCACCCAAAGAATGCGTGCAGATTTGTCCATGTGGAATCTGAACAAAATGAGCTGCGCTAAGCGTGCATGCACATATCTTGCTCACTGCTTTCTTCTACACATTACGCTGAACGTAACACGTGAAAAATGTCGCATATTTTTGTGCGAAACAGAAATGTTTGAATGAAAATATTCCATAGTATTCTCTGCTCTATCTAGATTCGCGTCCTTGGACTCGTTTCTCAACAGCATGTTCGCGTGAACAACAGACTATATGTCAGAAAATTTGCCAGAAGAATGGAAAGGTGATGACAAAATGTAAAGCAAATGGACAAAATAAAATAGATTGCACTTGCGAAGTTAAAAAAGGAAAATAGTTGAAAAGATTTCAATTTAAATGCCTTTGAGTCAGCAAGTTATGTGAGCGTTATACAATCTGATGTTTATTACATAAATATTCGAATAAATTCTTTTCTCGATTCTTTCAATCATTATTACATGGAATAATAATTGTTTCAACTGAAATGAAGTGCGGAAAATACGTAGGTAACAAGACAAAGCAAAATTGTATTTTGGTTAGCCCTTACACATGGACCCTTGTACAATTTACATCCGAATATTGATGCCGAATTTGAATTAAAAGATTTCTCTCGTACGAATACATTTAGATTCGTGCTAACACGTCGATTCTATTTTTCATAAAATGATAAAAAAAAATCCATTTTGACCATAGAACATTTCAAGCTCGATAAACACCAGAAGAAACCGTAAAACTATCAATAAAAATCCACTTATCTTGGTAGCATACGTGTTTTATTCTGATATAAAATTCGAAATATGTTGTGAGTATTTTTTTTTTCAGATAAAATGTCGATAAAATTAGTGAATTTTAGCAATATTTTAGTTGCATTCGTACAAAATAAAATAGTGCAATAAGATCGATGCTATCAAAAATATTTTCACGAAAAAATAAACTCTTGGAACATTTGTTATCCTACTAAATAAAATAAGTTCCGTTGTCTTGAATAAAAAAAAATCATATAAAATGTTAGAATTAAGCAAAACGAAAGAAAAAAGAACGCAAAAACACACGATGAAATGAAAAGTACAGATAAACCTTAGCACTAGCAATCTGTGCCATTTTTCATAAGGCGTCTCCACTCGCATTGAGTTTGTATTGTAAATGTTAAGGTGCGTGCAACGCCCTTCAATGTAAAAAGCAATACAAGTGGAGATGATACACGGGATTTATCTGTACTTTAAAAGAGAATTCAAGAAAATGTTGTAGCTGTTGTCAGTTCTGAGCTGTAAATAGCTCAACACGATCTATATAATTAGTATCTATTACACAGTAATAGTTTTTTTTCTATGGACAAAAATAGTTTAAATATATTTATAAAAAGGCGATCGCCAAAAATCGAAACTTTTGATTCAGAACCATAAAAGAGATAAGAGTCGAGTTCTCCCTTCGGTTTGTATTGTTGTTGCAAGTAGTCCGTTCTAATTGGATGGCAAAAGGAGTTTCTTTAATTTTTCCATTTTTTCCGATTCACTCAAGTGTTTGCCACTGAGCGTGTCCTTGCGCACAATAGATGGTGCATCTCGTTTTCGATATGGCAACAGTTGATGTGTTTCATCATCTTGAAGCTGATGCTGCTGCTGTTGATGATGATGATGGTAATTCGATTGAATTTTCTCTGGTAAATTGTCTTTCGAATCATCGTATTGGTAATTCATCGGGTAATCGTCACGCGACCGTTGTCGTGTGTGCGATGCAATGTCATAATCGTTGGCTTGGATGCCAACATCACAGCTTCCTTTACTATTTTGTGATTGTGTTTTCATGCGATTCGTCGATTGATCGGAGAATGAGCTTTGAGTGCCGTCCAAACGACGAATGCAGTCAACATCGATCGACGACGATATCGATGAGGCCACATCAACATCATTCGGTGTGAAATGCTCAATATCCTCAATATTCGGCCGATGCATTTTATCATGTGAATGACGTTGACTCTTGCTATTCCTTGTGCTATTTCGTCCACTCTTGCCAATCCCATTCAATCCATTTCGATCGCATGTGTTGAGCAGAGCTTCGATTTGCTTTTCTGTACTATTTTTCAAGATATTCTTCAACATTTGCTCGATGGCTGCCTGTTTATCGTTCGACACATCTAAACTGTCCGCACTTTCGGCCATTTGACGCTGATGGGCGCTCAGCGGCACTAGCATATTCGACGGTTCCTCAATACGGCACATTGGCTGCGATTCATCGATCGACTGGTCATCGTCGGATGTTTGTTGCTCTAGATCATTGTGGCTGAACAACTGCTGAATATCCGCTATGTCAGCTGTTGTGGTCGCCGTTATGGCACTTCGTCGCTCAATCTGTCGGCCCATCGTATTCGCACACAATTGAATGCGCTGATTATTCGGCTGCTTATATCTAATATTCTGCATTTGATTCGTTATGCGTTGGCTTTCCACCGACGAGCTACTTGCACGACGCCTGTATGCATTATTCGTTCGTCGGTATGCACGGCAATAGTTGCGCTGTCGCTTATTCATATTGACACTCTTGTGCTTCTGTGAATGACTCTCCAGCGTTGCCTTTATATTTGTCTCGGACATTTTCACGGAGACTTGTGACACCTGCGAATCAACCGAATTGCGTCTCGATTCAACTGAAAAGTGTCTCACACTCACACTTATCTCCGAATTATTATCGGCACATGAACTAGCGTACGGTGCGCCACAATTTGTATTCGGCTCATTGAAATCCATTCGTGTCATTGTCACTGCATTCCGACGATTTATTATGTTACAGAGGTAATTGGTTAGGGTGACACCCATTCCATCCGATGCACCCGAATTGAGATTGTTCATGTCGAAATTTATGCCAGCCGGATCGGTGTGCGAATTTTCAATCGACACTGAAATAACTTCATCACCACGCTTTGCATATGCATCGGCAATGATGCGATGCTTTGGCTTCGTGAATTTTTCATCTTCACTTTGCTCGTAGCCGATTTTTCTGCAATGAAATTAAAATACGTATGACTTCAGTGACAAAAGACTCGGTGCTGCTATGGTCATTTGAAAGAATAAAAATGGATTATTAAACATTAGATTTGTATGGGGGAAAATGTTGCTTTTGAAGAGCGAACATATTTTTTTAGAAGAAAAAATTTATTTTGGTCCAAAAAAAAGGACGGAAACACAAAATGGACTTAAAAAAATGGATGAAGAAAATACAAAAAAATGACAAAAATGAACAAAATGACTATCGTTCACTTGGAAATCGTTTCTAAACATTTTTTCGGAATGAGTTATCGATTTTAATCTCAAAATGTTCACAAATTCTACTCACTTCTTGAGGAATCGTTTCCATGTTTTGAGCGCTGGCCACGTCCAACACCACGACGACGTCACCAAATTCACGCAGAACAAACACAGCAGTCGAATTTGAAGAACAGCCACACTTGGACGGTTGTGTATCTTACATTTGGTCGGATCGCCCGAGTAACTCTCTTTTATCTTGCATCTGAAATGCCCGAAATAATGTTGAGTCAATGTTACATTTTTTCAGCGACTGATTTTTGAAAGTATGACGGTTTTTATTTAGTACCGTATAGTAGAAATGAAAGACATACATAATGAAATCGTTGAGACTTTTGGCCCACAGTTCAGAGTTGCGCACTTCATAGCTTTCAAACATGAAAAATGCAAATATGAAAAATATGACTAGCATCGTTCGAATGCCCATCCCTAAAATATGTGAGCTAAGTTTTTTTGATTCGTCGCTGCTGCTGGTGCTGCGTTTGATGCGATTCAAATTGAATGCTCCTTTGAATGAGAAAAATACACTAACGCCAAATGATAAAATGGCCACTGGAACTAAGACTAAACCACTGCGAATGGCACGATTTCGATATCCAACGAAACAGATGCCCGTGATACTGTTGCCATCCACTTCGCTCAACACCATTATGGAAACGGTTAGTATGAATGGCAGCGCCCATGCGATGAAATGAAAGTAGAAGCTTTCTTTATCAATGCGATCTCGGATACTCCCTGGGAAATTGGGGGAGAATAAATACAAGTGTAATGAGATTCAAAATGAAACATTTTGTTTCAAATCAAATTTGACAAGAATTTTAATTTGAAATAAAATGTAGAAAATGAAGACGATACAAGAATAAAATAGTTTTTTTTTTTGTTCCAATAATAAACTCATTAAAAAAGAATAAATGATAGGGCCAAATTTGGATAGAAACGTACCTCGATCCTTTGTTTGCAAGTACCACGCGTATGTGAAAATTGCAAACCAAACATTAGCCGCAATTAAAAAATAGTAAATCAAAATGAATGGGATGATGCAAGCCAAATTTTCACCAGCACTTGGCTCAGAATAGCGTAGAGTGCCATCACGTCGACACACAATATTCTCACGATGGCCGGGTACAAATTGCAACATCCATCTGAGGAAACATAAAGAATTTATTTGAAGGAAATTGCTTCTAAATTTTCCCGAGACCATTTCCAACGTCATCTCGATTGAATCAAAGTGTTAATTTCTCAGCTTACCCAACCCAATTACAAAGGAAGCAAATGCTGATGTAGAACAAATTCCATGCAGGATGTTTTGAGTGCTTCCAATCATGGATCAAAAATGTTGCGATCACAAATAAATTGCAGGTAAAACAAAAGAGTGTACCCCAGAAGATCAGTGTATGCACCGATTCGTGCTCTTCATCCGTATACATCGGATCTTTGCACTGAAGTCCACATCCTTCGACATCTGATGAATATGAACAAAAAACAACAAACAAATCATGAATGAAAAAAAAAATGTTTGAAAATCGGAAGCAACACAAAATACGTTTTATGAAGATATTCTTCAATGAATTAATGACAATAATAAGTTTAACACCACACATCACAAACAAAACTTAGGTCTTAAATGAAGTTATAATTACAATGTGGCTTGACTCATTGATGAATTTGAGATGTGTTTTGGTTTTCAATGAATTTCAATTTTACCTGGATAATGATTAATTGGCGAATCGGTTGCAACGAGCGGATGCATGCATTGGCTCGGAATCGATGTGAATTTCATGTCACGCACGTCATTACTGCAATTTTTGCACGGAAACACCTCTTCATGGCACTTTAAATAACTGGGAAAGAAATCCGTGTTGTACAAAATGCGACACGGTTCATAGGTAACGCTGCACATCTCGTACGATGGCAAATAAACGTATTCCTTGGATTTGCTTCTTGTACATTTTGGTAGGTAGACTGCACACAGGAATGGCTGCACGAATATGAATTGAAAAAGAATGATAAAAATGAGGTAATTCTTGAAATTTCGAAACAAAGGCAAAAAAACAAAAAAATTGGCTCGGTTGAAGAATTGAACACTCGGTAAATATTTGCATCGATACTTATTTTCGGTGCATTGTTCACCAATTCGAATACATTTTTATGTTTTTTTTCAGAATGAAGAAACCGTTTTTAAAATGCTCACCTGAACAACGGCCCAGCACTTTGGCACATTTCGCAATGCTTCCAATTGATTCAATTTCCTAACGCTATTCTCCTGGCTGCCCAAATCCGTCAGCTCAACACTGGTGAATTTATACGGAATTTTCGTACCGAAGCACGTACTATTGAGAATTTTCTCGCATTTGGTCGGTCGAACGCAGCGAGTGATAAAACGTTCTTTGCGATCATCATGCCAAGGTTTTCCGCTTATGTCTTTCGTGATATTACTGCGAAAATCACGGCCGTTAATCGGCACCAAATCCAGGTATTCATCGTCGGGTTTGTCACTCGATGTTGGTATCGTTGCACTGAATTCGGCGATCACAAAATTCCTCCAAAATTCTTGAACAATCAGCAAACAAACAATTCGAAAGCTAACAAGTTTTCAAAGCAATGACAAAAAATTTACTTCCTTTATCTAACGAAACATTCTCGGAACGAAAATGTTTATAAATACAAAATTTATCTCAAACAAATCACACACACACACACACACACGACAATTACAGTGAACAATGATAGAGAAATGCTACATTTTTCACATTTTTTAGAATTAATTCAATTCATCGATTCACTTGCTAGAATTTTAAATCAGAATATCGTTTTAAATAAATAAGAAATCGAAACTTACAAGTGCATATTTCACATGGATGCATGAAATAATCCAAAATATTACACGCCTCTCACACACTCGATGCCGTTTTATGTTTATTCTTCCTTGGAATTTTGTCCGAGCGCTTCTTCGTCGCTATGTGTGATTTGCCTTCTCTTTTGTTTGCTTGGTGATATTGTTGTTGTTGTTGTTGTTGTTGCACTGTATGCGGATCGTTTGACGTTTCGTGATCGTTTGCAGCGACATGCACTGCATTCATATGTGATGCTGTGGCCATGTGTGCGTTCGCAATACATCGATACGTGTATGTGTCGATCAAGTCTTTCACGCACATGTGTACTGCATACACACATGATCAGAATACTAAATGTTGAAGGCTGTCATATGGTATTTGTTCGCATCCCTATTGACGAAAACGATCAGATTTCTTCATTTGAATGATAACAACATTACGGTATCAATCGATTGATAGACAGCAACTTCTCTTTTTGTAAACAGGTGAAGTTATTCAATGTAGATGTTCAAAGCGTAAAATCCAAAAAAAAAAATATCCATGAATCACTTCGATTTTTCTTCTGATGATTTAAATTTGAATTTATTGGGATTGAGAATGTTGGAAATTTTCTTTCTATATTTTTAGCTCAAATTTTCCCACTTTCCAACAAACAGTTTTTTGCTATTCCGTTTTTGTGATGAGAAAATAATAGAAATTGATCATTAGTTTATTCAATGATTTTCATTGATTTAAAAATTGTGTTGACACACTGACAATTTTGATCGAACATTCGAAAGATGCAAATAATTGAAAAACGACGAATGAAAATTATCGGCTTTTAAAAGTGACTCATTTACAGAAAATGTGAGCTGCTCCATCTGGAATTTGAGCAAATGGACCATCTCCACTATCACAACAACATTCAATGTAAAAACCATGTTCCGCATAGTCGAAGTTTGCACAAATAGTATCCCGTGTGCAAATAAAATGACTAACAGTCAATCAGTTGTATGTAGCTGTATGTAGTGATACACAACTAAAACTGGCTAAGTTGATTGAAATTATGCGTTTTCTATAATCACGTTTAGTTATTCTTTCAGTCAGTCGACTAATTTGGGACATTTTGACTAAGAGTGATTTGTGATTAAAGTTAACTGCAGTTGCTTATTTTGTTCGAGACAATCACTTTTAGTCAGTCAAAATGTCCCAAATTAATCGACTGACTAGTCAGTCAAAAATTTTCCGCACGGGATGCTGCTCATTAGATTTAATGGAATTTATCTACTATATAATAAATAACTATCAATGCGATTGTGTGTATTTTTTAGCTGTTGTACATTATTCCTCTTATAGTCAATGAAAATTGGAATTTGAAATTGTAATTTTATTCGTCATTCTGGTTTGCCTGCTGTGTGCGATATCCGATTAATAAAATCACGATTCACGATAGAGATTCTTTACAACAAGATGAAAAAAAAATTTCAGATAAAAATTGAACAAAAAAATGCCCTCAGAATATTTGGGAATTGAATCAAAGCAAAGCGTTTGCCTACGAACAAAGAGCAAAAACACAAGTTTTTGAACCAAAGCGACACAAATCAAATGTGAGAAAAAAAAGTGCAACATAAACATTCATGCAACAGCGTATAGCACTGCACACTTTTTGTTGAAAAATGGCGAAATTTGCCGTAGAGAGCGCGCTTTTTTATGGACATTCCAATGGGGGACTGTTGGCGCCCCCTTGACGGTTTTTTTGATAACTAGTAGTGTTAGACGCTGAATCGAGAAATCCGTTTGGCCATTTATTTGAACGTCATACAAGTTGATCGTGGTGGCTTCGATATCATAACTAAGCAATGGCTCATGGAAATTCTTTCAAATAGATTGATTTGGATTAGAGAATTTACATTCTCTGTTTTGATCATTTTTTGAACACTTTCAACATTTCCTGAATGGGAAAGTTCATTTTTTGGTTATATTTCCTATCGATTGACACGCACAATTCTTGTCGTCTCTGATATTGATATAGCCACAATCAATATTTGGTTGATGCGGTGCAAAATTGGGAGTGAATCATTTCAAATGATGCTTCTAGCAATTTGATTGTGTGTTGACAACGACAAAAGTACAATTGCGCTAAGCCAATACAATTCAGATTTCAGCCCTATATTCGACCATGTTTACTACGTCACAATGCCAATTTCGTTTGAAAAATTTGCCAACCGTGAAGTCATAAAAAGAATTCATTTCATTGCAATGATTAATCATGATTTAAATCACTCAATTGAGTAAAAGCCACACAGACAAAAAAAAATATGAGCTGCTCCACCCAAAAACAGAACAAATGAACCATCCCCACTCTCTCAAAATCTATTTGTGTGAAACAAAACGCTGGAAATCCGATTTTAAAAGCGCCAACAAGTAGGCAGCAGCTCTCAATTCGAAATGGTTTTTAAAAATCAGTTTTCAACGTTTCAAAGTCAAGCGTTACAAATGCTGGAACACTTTTTTTCTTAGCGAATTCTTAAAATCGATTTTAATCCAGATAAATAAAGAAGAATGTACCCTTATTTGCTAACGAAAAAAACAATTAGCGCTAACCAAAAGTAAAAAAGTTCCCAAGTCAATATCACATTGATGATGGTCAAATGGGAAATGAAGCGAAAAGAAAACTGCAATCCCTTCGAATCTCAATCCACACTGTGTGCATGGCTCTGTGTGTTGCATCTTATTCTCCGAATCGAAAATTAATAAATGGCCACTTGCAGTTTTATAAGTGGTAAATATTTACGAAGCGCAATTAATATTGACGCCTCTTATGCTGTTAGCGAAGTGCGGCGTGTGTGCACACACGGTGTGTGCATTCGTGTTTTGTATGTGAGACCGTTGTTGCTCACTGTACTTAGAAAATATTTGCAATATCATCATCAACAGTTAAATATGATGATGAATCAAATTCATGAGATATTTTATTTCAATATTTTCCGGTGGATTTCTCTCTCTCTCTCTCACACATACACATGTTTACCACCTGCCTAACAATGTTTTGAAATCAATTTCGTGATTATGATTGTTCATTTGGCAATTTTGGTGTTTGATGGCGCCCTATTCCCCGCATTCGCTACTGCAAACAGCCGCCGCTTGTTTTATTCACAACAATTTGTGTTCAATGTTTGAGCGCGCGCGTAAAGTATTTGAAGAAAAGAAGAAGGAAAAAAACACAACACTTGACAGTGTCATTACTACATTATTATGAGCGCAACGTGTGACTGCCAGATGCATAATTAAGGTGGCAAAACAATTAATAAAATGCCGTAATTCCCAAACAACTCCCGGGTTATTCAGTTAAATGCCAATAGTTTTTATTGAACGTCTTTTGTATGGAGAAACAAAAAGAAAATGAACAACCGTGAAGAAAATACCGCTTGGGTAATTGAACTTTCTTGATAAAGAACGACATGATTGGAAACGATAGTATTGCACACGTATTGCTTGTCACACACACATACACACACCCACATCATCCAAAACACTCAACTAATCTCAATCGTGAACAAGCATCAGTTTTAATTTTCCATTCACTTACGAAATTGCCATCATAACGAAGGCTCATGCTAATTTAGTCACGTTTCATAGATCTAAAACACAAATTGAGATATATTACTGACGTATGCTCGATTTGAATATGCACAAAACACGAAAGCTGAAATGCTAAATCGTGGCGCCAATTCTTTAGTTTCAGCTTAGGGAATTTTTATCTTGCGAATCGAGTTAGAGTAATAAATTCGAAGATTTGCGTACCTCCAATGGAGGTCCTCCATAGAATTTTGCATAAAACATTTGCAACGAATCTTCCATTTTAAGACCAGATAAATTTTTTAAACATTATATGCGAGAATGAACTTATTTTTATTATTCATTTGCAATTCATCAAATTTCGTACCGATATTCAAATTTAAAGTTGTCGTCCAACACTCGAGTTGTTTGAGCTGATTGTGTTAACCGAAAGGCTCGACTGGATTGGAGGCGATCTGTCAACTCTTTTCAAATAGAACTAATCAAAATCTTGGAATTGTACAATTGAAACAGCAACGTTGCATTGAATATTGATTGATTATCGAAAAAATATTGAATCACGTCAAAAGGCAATCGCCTCAAAAGAATTGCACTCGTTTTGTATTGTTTGACGTGTGGTTATTGCTCTGTTGCTTATTTGGATTATTTTTGATCACAGCATTTGATCAGCATTTTTGTAAAAGTATCATGTTTTGTGTTTTTTTGTGGCAAAATGAAGCGAGAGAAGAAATCCGCGATGGGTGCGCGAAAGTGTGAAAGAGAACAACATTAAGAGTTTGAGCATATCTTCACCATATACACACTTGTCGCACGGTGCGACTCGCACACTATGAATTCAGATAAACTATCGATGAACATAACACATAATAATTTGAAAAATTAGATTCTTTTGCCAGAGCAACACGTACACCCGGACATCACTGATGTGTGCAATCAAAACACAAAAGCCAAAGGGTTCGATCAAATTAAACATTTACAGGAAAAAAATTCGTTCGAGTAAATTCAATCAAAGGGATAACTGTCAACAACTCATACCGATCAGTTCCAGCTTCAATACTCGAAATGCTTCGGAAAATACGTAACCGAAGATGCAAAGTTGCTCCTGAAATAAACAAAACTGCAAATAACTGCAATTGTGTAAAAACATGAAAAGAGATCACACCAGGTTTGATTCGATAATAATTTCGACAGAAAAATTTTCAAAGTGTTAAGTTTAAATTGAAGATTTGTCAATTTTTGGCAAATAGTTTTTTTTTTATCCATGGCGTACATTCATCGATTCACTCTAGTCTAGATTATCCGCATCGAAAATTCGGCTTTCACTTGCATGAAATACCTTAATTCTCAGCATGGAGTCGGTGAGTCATTTCACAAGAATGCGCAAACACTTACCCTTGTTTACGTGCTTTATTATCCCAAAGCCACACATCATTTCAATAATTAGTCGAGATTTTCCCCTTTGCACGCTACAAAAAAATGTTTCGCTTCTTTTCAGTTCGTTTCTCAGGAGATTTATTTTCATAATGCGATTCATTGCTCGGAATGTGTATATTTCTGATCAAAGTATATCACATCTTGTATATTTTTTCCTCTTCAAGCGTGTTGCTTTTGTGTTTGAATTTCTATTGGATGTGCGGTTAATTGCTTGCATGCGTGCGTTTTCGTCGAATTGTTTGCTATTGTCTTTTGTTGCTGCATATGCGTTGCTGTTCCTTGGTTTCGATATGGGGGAGTCGATTTGAATGCACTCATGTGATCAAAAAAATACACGACAAAAAGAAGAGAAAAATCACATAAATTTTGCACATTCACTTACGTTCAACTGGATACCATCATGCATATGGATATGAC